CCGCCGTGTGGTGTTGGTGACTGATGACGGCCATGAACACGAGGGGACGGGGGCAGCCACCAAGGCGAAGTGTCCGAGGATCTCAAGCCAGAGGAAGCTCGCAGAGTCTAGCACGTTCATGCTGGGGGAAACTGAGGCTCAGAGAGGGGGGAGCTGAGAACCCGGCCCCTCCCTCCCCAGCGAGGTTCTCACTGCATGCATTGCCTCGGTGGGTAAGGAGAAATCCCTTCCCTTCCATGCCCCCAGCCCCCACCAAAGCTCAGAATTAACCTGTCCTGTTCTCTTTGCATGCTGGCTGTGGCCCCCTTGCCTGGGCCTTGGACCTGAGGGTCTGCTTTGCCCAAGGGGAGGGGGGTCAGTGCAGAGACCTCCTCTCTCTGATGTCCCCCCGCCAGGAGTGACATTTGCAGAAGTGACACAGGCCGGCACGCTGCCCCACAGCTGACCCACAGCTGCATTAGAGGTCTGAGAAAAGTGACATCCCCGGAGAAGTACCGTCGGTGTGGGCTGTAGCTGGGCCCCCGGTGACACCCGCCATCTCGTGCATGCACCCGGCCTCCTCAGAGTTAGAGAAACGGGTCCCCCCTCCGCACGCACCCTCCTCCCACCCCAGGGTCCCCACATTCCGAGGAGTCAGGCTGTCTCCTTCCGTGACCCTGCAGGGCCTGCCGGGCATGACGTCACCCGTCACCATGGCAGTGGTTCCACTGGCCTGGCTGCCGGAATGGGACACGCCCGGGCGAAGCCGGTGGCTGGGGAGGCGGACAGAGCGCTGGGGAGCCTCCGCGGAGGCAGAGAGGGCCGGGCACGCCGGGCCGACCTCCGCTCGTGGTAGGAATGCTTGGGGAACGTCACAGCGGCCTGGGGAGAGGGAAACAAAAGCACACCCAGGACGAAGGGCTGAGGGAAGCCTTCCCTTGTGTGGCGGTCACAGCTGTGTGCGTGTAGCCGGAAGCACTTCTTAGGGGGTCTGTCCTGCTGAACCTCCTCGTTTTCTTAAGAGTCGCAACACCAGACCCCATGCGATGGGGGCGACACAGCCACGCGGTTCAGGCTCAGTGGGGAACCAGCCACACGCCCTCTTGCCCACCTCTCCGGTGCAGGAGCCCCCAGTGCCCCGGGTCCTGCTCCTTCGTGGGAGGCTTCGTGAGCAGGCCGTGGACATGTGGCTTCGGAAAAGCTGGGGGACAGCATGGTGGCAGCCTTGTTCATACCGTGGTTCCCGAGTCGCCTCTCTTTGTTATTAGGTGGTCTTCGCCTGTCATTCATCCCAGGGATTCCACTCTTGTGTTGTTTTGGTTCTCAGCCCAGAGCTGGGCAGAGCAGGAACCCCCGAGGAGAGCTTGTGGGAGGGGAGCACGAAGCGAAGCCCGAAGCGAAGCCGGGGCAGGGGGGGCGCCGGCACTTCTCACGGCCTGCCTTGATGAGTCCGTTAGGGGTGCGCTGGGCTGCACGTAACGGGAAATCCCATGAACAGTGGGGTTGGTTGTTCTCCTGTCGTCAGGAATTCTGGCCTGGGTGATGCCATCCATCAGCAGTCCAGGCTCCTCTGTCTGTCTGTCTGTCTGTCTGCTCCCCATGTCAGCTTGTGTCCTCGTCCTTATGCCTACAAGATGGCTGCTGTGCCTCAGGATGTCACATCCACGTGCCCAGCAGGAAGAAAACGGAAGGGCAAAAGGCCAGGGAGACTGCCAGCCTACTGTGACCTTTTTTATAAAGAACACAGTGGATTTCCCAGTAGACTTCTGTGTGCACAGTGGCCAGAACTGTGATACGTGCCCCCACTCGCCGCAGGGGAGCTTGGGAAGCTGAGTGTTTTAACTAGGCACAGGCAAAATTGGGGTTCTCTCGGGAAGAAGCAGGGTGGGTGGAGACCTGTGTCATCCATGCGTATATATGGGTTTGTGTCCTCGATCAGATCTGCCACCACCCAAAAGATAGGGACCCTGTTTTGTTGTCCCTGCCCCCTCCCAGCAGCAGGCATGGAGCGTGGCACACAAAAGATGCTTAATCAGTTTGGGGGAGCTCTCACTCTCCTCTTAGGGAGGAGCTACCGATCTGAAGGCGGAGGTCAGCCCTTGCTCTCAGGGAGCCCCCAGGGGATGGGGGAGGCATGGTTCCTCCCCCCCCCCAGGCCACCAACACAAGGACGCGTGCTCATGTGCAGCCCCCCGCTGATGGACAGAGAGGGACACGCAGCCTCACCGTCACGCAGCGCGTGCAGGGATGATGCAGGGCTGGAGCGCGAGGAGTTCTGCAGGGCCAGCAGGGGGCTGTAGTGTCACTCCCTCCAAGGCCACTTGGCAAAGGTGAAGGAAGGTCCAGCAATGCACCAGGAAAAGGGGGGGGTGCCCCTTGCAAAGCTCCGGTGTCGAGAGCAAAGCCTGGAGTTTGGTTCTCAGCCAGCTGGGGCTGAAGGAGGTCAGCCCAGGGGGTTCGACTTCCAACCGAAGGGCAGACGCCCTCCCAGGGCCCCTCTGAGAAGCCACAGTGGCCCCCTTGCTTGGGTCAGCGGCCCCCCTAGGAGTCCTTCCTCTCAACGGGGCTTCCCTGTGGCCTTCACGCCCCGCCGATCCAAAACCTCCCTGAGACCGGGAGTTGGGTGTCCGCTCTGCTGTTTGCTGGCCGTGTGGCCTTAGTTTCCTCCCCCGTGAAATGGGACGATGCAGGTTCCCACCCACCCACTCACCTCTGCCACAGGGAGTGCAGCCAGGACGGGACGAGAGGGGACAGATGGGAATTTCAGACTCCTCGGTGACAGCTGGGCCCCAGCTCTTGTGGGAGGTTCCTTCTGACCAGGTTCCATCTTTAGACGTTGGGTTCTGTTACAGTGAGGCTCACTGGTGACGTGGTCACACCGGGTTAGGGTGCAGGGCCGAAACCAGCCCAGCTCTGCCCCCTCCCACGCCCACCCTCGGGCCTGGTGCGGCCACCCGCTGCCTGACAGGACAGAGGAGCGAGTGAGTCCGCCCTCCACGGGCCCCGCTGTCCCCGCCCGGCAAGGTTCCAGCCCGGTGGGTCTGGGATGCTGGCCTTGGTGACCTGAGCCGCTGCTCTGCCGGGCTGGCAGCGAAGAGGACAGGTCTGGCTGTGGGAGTCAGGAAGCCCAGAGTTGGACGTTAAAGAGCCGCCCAAGACCCAGGGCCCCCACTGCAGGGTCTCCCCGTGGCTCCTCGCACCTGGTGACATGGCCCCGGTTAACCTGCCTCCACCCTGTTCTACGAGGGGTGGGAGGGGAAAGGGCAGAGGGCAGGAGGATGGAGACCCCCACCTCCATCCAGCAGGGCCAGAAGGATGTCAGCTTCTGGTGGGCACTGGGCCAGGAGCCCAGGGTCCTCAGGCCAAGTTTGCAGGGCTGGGTGTCAGGGACCAGGTAGGGTGGCACAGCCATTGCCCACCCCATGTCACTGTCCTCAGCAGGCAGTGGCTACAGGCCCCTCTGGGTTTGGGGGCTTCACTGTAGAGACAGCATAATGTAGGATCCAGTGTGTGGGCTCTGGGTTCAGGTGCAGCTGTGTGACTCTGGGCAAACGGCTTAACCACTCTGTGCCTACTTTCCATCTCCATGGGCTTTCTCCTACTCCGGACACTTCATAGAAATGAAGTCGCACAATACAGGATGGGTCAAAAGTAGGCTTGCAGTTGTTCATACAGAAAATAATACAATAATTAACAAATGGTAATGCAAGAATAAACTGTTTTGCATACTCATAACTATAAACCTACTTTTGACCCACCCTGTGTGTGGCCTTTGGTGACTAGCTTCTTTCACTTGGCATAGTATTTTCAAGGTTCAGTCATAATGTAGCATGACTCTTTACTTCCTTTTATTGTCAAATAATATCCTTTTAGATGGATACACTGCATTCATCAGCTGACAGACATGTGGTGGTTTCACCTGCGGGCCACTGTGACTAACGCTACTAGGAACATTTGCCTACAAGTATTTGTGTGGACTGATGTTTTCATTCCTCTTGGGCACATGCTGGGGAGTGGGATTGCTGGATCATGAGGTAACTTGAGGTTTAATCACTTGAGGAACCGCCAGCCTGCTTTCCACAGCAACTGCACCATTTTCCATTCTCGCCAGCACCATACAATGGTTACAGTCTCTCCACATCCGTGCCAACACTTGTGGTTGTCTCCTTTTTTATTTTAGCCATTGTAGTGAGTGAGAAGTGGTAGCTTGTGGTTTTGATTTGCATTTTCCTGATGACTAGTGATGTAAGAGCCTTTTCATGTGTTTATTGGCCATTTCTTGGAGAAGTACCCATCCAGGTCCTTTGCCCACTTTTTTAAATTGGGTTGTTTGTCTTTTTATTATTGAGCTGTAAGAGTTCTTCTACACTTGTGTCCTAGATATAAGACCCTTATCAGATAATGATTTGCAAATATTTTCTCCCATTCCCTGAGTTGTCCAATTACTTTCTTGATGGCATCCTTTGAAGGATAAAAGTTTTTAATGTTGATGAATTTCAGTGTATCCGTTTTTTCCTCTGTTGCTCATGCTTGGGGTGTCCTGTGCCGCTGCATGTTTTTAATCAAACGCTGTTCCCGTGGAGGAAATGGGGCAGATGATGGACTGGTGGGCTGGGCTGGCTGGTGCTGGTGGGCTCAGAGGAGCCCGTGGGGTCGTTGCTGCAGGATCAGGGAGCCACCAGCTTCTGGGGCCACGGGGGTCTCAGGCCCACCAGGCCTCCAGCTCCCTCACACCGGGGACCTAGCAGTTCAGAGCAGGGATAGACATTAAAGCAAGGACTTGCTCCCCTGGTTGGATCAGTAAAACGGAGAGGTGACAACTAGGACTCCAGGAACAGACAGATCTGGGTTCGAATCCCGAGAATGCCACTGAGTGGCATGGGAGCTTGGGAGAGAAGCTTCATCTTTCTGAACACTATTTCCTCGTCTGTTAAAAGGGGGATAAATAGGGTCCCTTCTCAGCTTCCGGGGCCGACAGATAGCTCGGATCTCTGGAACTCACCTTCTCTTCCGTCCCCCAGCCATGAAGGCCGACCGGAAGCGCCTCAAGGGCGAGAAGACGGACCTGGTGAACCAGATGCAGCAGCTGTACGCCACGCTGGAGAGCCGCGAGGAGCAGCTGCGGGACTTCATCCGGAACTACGAGCAGCACCGCAAGGTCAGGGTCCGCCCTCCTCGCCCCCTCTCCTCCCCTCTCCTCCCCTCTGCAGGCACCAGCTCCCCTCCCCACCGCCCTGCACGGGGTGGCCTCTCAAATCCCATCACCTCGTGCTCCCCCGGGGAGGCCGTCGACGTGTCTGGCCCGGGCTGGGCACTAAGATGGGACATGGCTGGTCAGGGTGGCTCTGTCGGCGACAGTGGGGACTCTGGATAAAGGCCGGCCCAGGTTCAAATCCCAGCTCCCCACGTTTGTGCCCTTGGACACCTCAGCCTCTCAGAGCCTCCATCTCTGAGTCTGCTCCATCGAGCGCGTGGCTCAGGCCTCGGAGAGCCGTGACAAGGACTGTTGGAGGTGATGAACGCGGAGCACCCAGTCTGGTGCCTAGTACCTAGTCAGCGCTCACTGAACGTTAGCTCTGCACCTTATTAACAATATCGTAGTAAATGTGTGAAGAGAGAGCTGGGGGGCACCAGTGAGATAGATGGAAATTCTGCCTGCAGGGAAGCAGTCCTGGCAGGCTTCCCAGAGGAGGTGACTATGAGTTGGGCTCTGTGGGGTGGGTAGGAGTTTAAGTCAGGTAACTGAGGAACTTGGTGTATGTGGTGTGGACACGCTGAAGAGGGTACCTACTGGTGTGTGGGGCAGAAACACTATGGAAAAATGCTCTTCACACACATGACACCATTTGTCAAGGGCCGTGACCAAGGTTCACGCGCACGCTGGGGAGAAAGTGGGGGCTGCAGGTGTGCTTGGCTTTGCTGGCCACAGAAGGCTCGACGGGCCGGTCACACGAGTGCACCCGCGGGTGCTGCCTGGGAGCTGAGAGGTTAGAGTGTCGGAGATGGGGGGAGGGGGATGGAAAGGCCTCATCCTCCCTGCAGCCCACCCTGGTCTTCCCCTGCCCCAACCCCCTCTCACCGCCCACACGTGATGGACACAGCCCAGCAGGGCACCCAGGCCAGGTGGCCCACAGCCTCTGCCTGCGGCCTGGGGCTCTCAGCCGTCCCGGGCGCTGCCGGCCCGAGCAGCAGGGCCCCAGCTTCCGCTGCCTGCCTCTGCCTCCTTCATGGCTGGTGAGCTGGGTCCCTCTGGAGGTGGCCTCTCCTGGCCTGTCACTTGGAGATAAGCTGTGGCAATGAGGAGGACCCCTGTGGAAACAGAGAGGAGAGGGGGCCCACCACAGCCCGTTTTCTTGGTCGTCCTCCCGGCCTCAGACTTGCCGTCGCCGTGACCTCGCGTGGCAAAAGGGTGCGGCAGCTCTGCGGGGTCTGCTTTGTGAGGGCTCCACCCTCGTGACCTCAGCACCTCCTAGAAGTCCACCCCCTGAACCGTCACATCGGGGGTGAGGATTCCAGCGTGGGAGTTTGGGCGGGACACACACACACAGACGACAGACAAAAACATGTGCCACGTGATGACGTTTTGAGCAGCGACAACGGACCACATACGTGACGGCAGCCCCGTGAAATTACGGTGGAACTGAAAAACTCCTGTCACCTAGTGACTCCGTAGCCATGGTGACGGGGTGGTGCAGAGCTTGCCCAACCGCCGAGCCTGGGGCTCGGAGGGCAAACGGCTTGACTGGCTGCATAGCTGGCGGGCGGCAGTTTGCAATGGACTGGCCTGAGGCTCACACCCAGGCATCCTGACCCCAGGGTGCTGGTGCCAGGGACGCGTCCCGGAAGGGACTGTCCCCGCACCACCTCCGCTAGAGCACACCTCGAAGCGGCGGGGGGCTGGTGACAGAGGAGGAAGTGTGTCCCCGCCTCGCCCGCACTGCCAGAGCCTCCACGTGACGGCCTCTGACCCGAGTCCTGCACGTCCGCGTCACCGGCGGGATCTGTCAGGGGCTCCCTGCCAGGCTGCCACTCTGGGGCCCGGGCCTGCCGGTGCATGAGCATGGCACGTCCCTGCTCGCACAGAGCGAGCGCACAGTAGGGCTTCAGTGTAAGCTCCACGGTGCAGGGATTTCTGTCTGGTTCGCAACTGCTGAGGAATCTGAATATTGGTTGAGTGGCCAGTATCGGGCACCAGTACAAGAAAACGGGTTGGAGAGAACCCAGGGCCACCCTCCGAGATGGGGGGCGGGGGGGGAGGCCACAGGGAGCCAACATGGGGGTGCAGGCCGTGAGCGTCTGTTGGGTGCCCGGCGTCACGCCAAGCTCTCGTGTGAACTAGCTCATCAGTCCTCACAGCCGCACCCTCACATGCATGTGGTATCACCCCCGTGTCACAGATGAGGAAGCTGAGACGTGGTAGTCCCTGCAGCTCCTCCTTGCAAAGCCAGAATTTGACCCAGACTCGCCCCGGAACCCGAGCCGTAGCCACAGCTCTGAGGACAGACACAGAGAAAGGGCCAGTGTCCCCCTCAGCCTCCTGGTCCCTGGCCACCTGGGAGTCAGGCTTTCGGTGACAGGGGTTGTTAGACAAGGCAAGATGGCCTTGCCTCCCAGGCCCCTTAGAATGTGGCTCTTGGTTTGGTGAATAGGAAGGCCGTGGCTCGGCAGCTGGGGCTGGGCAGGGCCCCCTGCTGGGACCCTTCCTTCTGGGAAAGGCAGCTGCTGTTCTGAAGCGTGGCTTTCGCCGGCAGAGGCCATGCCCTCACGTGCCCCTTGCCTGCTGACGGTGCCCCAGCGCGCTCAGCTAGAGCCCTGGGCCCTGCCCTCAGTGTCACAGAGAAAACAGCTCACGCAGGGGGGACTGACCCGGAGCTCAGGCCAGGTGACCAGCTGGGACCTGGGCTGCCTTCAGATGCAACAGCGAGCTGAGGGGTTCGGCCTGTGTCATCACTGGCTATGACCGCAGAGGGTGGGGGCAGGACCCCAGGGCAGCCAAGGAGATGGGGCTGCAGGTGTTTCCTCCTCTGTCCCTGTCTCCCAGCGACAGACATGTGACCAAACAACAAAGCAAAGCCCCAAACCCACCATTGACCCTCACTGTGGCCACACTCTGTTTAAATACCTCCCTCACACGAACTCTTTGAAACATGGAGTCTTGGCACCCCGCCCCGCAATTTTAAATACAGAGAAACCAGGACTGGATGACGTGAAACAATGTACCCATGACAAGCGTTTGCTCATTTAGTCGTTGAGAAATATTTCCCGAGCATCTACTAATGGTTTACCTCCGTTCCAGCCTCCCAGCTAGTTTGTGGCACAGCCGGGATTCGAACCCAGGGTTTCCTCACTGCAGAGCCTGAGCTCCTAGCCACGCACAGCGGGACCTCCCAGGTCTTCCTGTGGCCGGGAGTCAAGGCCCCTCTGGGCATCTCCGGGCCGTGAGGAGGCCCCCTGCCCCCCCGCGGTGACACCCTGGCGTTCGCCCCCCGCAGGAGAGCGAGGACGCCGTCAAAGCCCTGGCCAAGGAGAAGGACCTGCTGGAGCGGGAGAAGTGGGAGCTCCGGCGCCAAGCCAAGGAGGCCACGGACCACGCCACGGCGCTGCGCTCCCAGCTGGACCTCAAGGACAACCGGATGAAGGAGCTGGAGGCTGAGCTGGCCATGGTGAGACCCCTCCCTTGCCAACCCGCCCCCGCCTTCAGGTATCCGCTGTGTTGGGAGACAGGGCACTGACCTTGGTTCATCCGAGAATCCTGAAGCTGAGTCAGGCAGGACACCAAGGAGGAGGGGCGGGGCCAGGGGCGGGGTTTGTGATGATTGGCATCCTCTTCACTCATCTATCTGCCAGGGCCTGGGGCTGTGGGGTGCTGGGAGACCATCCACTCTCCCGCATTCCCCAGACTGCTATAAAAAGAAAAAAGCCCATTTTTGTTTAAAATATACATATTTGTTTAGGTAAACATTTAAGAGGAAATACACCAAAAACATTAACAATGGTTATGTCTGGGTGCTAGGATTACTAGTGAGTTTTGTTGTTTTTTTTTTTTTCCTTTTGTTGGTTTTTTTTTTTTTTTGGTCCTATTTTCATCTATAGCAAGAATGACTGCTTGGGAAATGTCATCAGGGGAAAAGGTGTTACTTTTTTCTGATCTAAAACAAACCTTTAGAATACTTCCAAACGCTGTGTTATCTGTATTGGTGCGCGGCCCACATGTAGGGACAGACAGCCCAGGTGGTGTCCGGGGGGCCTGGCAGAAAAACCGAGGTTTCAGAGCCCTGAGTTCTGTTCTGCCTGCTCCTCTGTGACCTTGGGCTGCTTGATGAACTTCTCTGGGCTTCGCTGCCCTTTATCTGGTACTGGGGTGGGGCTGAGGGTCTTTATCCCATCCAGTCTGCCCCACCAGGTGGCTGGGAAACTGTAGGGAGCCCCCAGGGGGTGGGGAGGCCCTGAGAGCACTGATGTGAGTTAACAGTGTGTTTATAGCCATGGGTTCTGGGTTCAAGTCCAGCCTCTGTCATCCTGTAGCTGTATGACCTTGGGCAGGACCCCTCTCATAGGGCTCTGTGAGAGCATTTCCATGAAATAACGCAAGGGAAGTGCTTAGTGCAGTGCCTGTGTGTGGCGAGTGATGATACGAGGAGACATGAAGTTTCTCTACGGTCACTCCCCTCAGGACCATGCCCGCCCGCCCGCCTGGGGGCTGGTCAGGATCCACGGGTCCCTCTTGGGACCACTTCAGGGCGCTGCCTCCTGGGTCTCCTTGTCCCATGCTGACCCCTAGTGGTGAGAACTGCCCAGGGCCGGAAGAAGCTGCAGCCATCAGGTCTTCTCTTGGGGTGGAGGTGGGGTTCCCAGCGCTGGCTCCCCTGGTGCGGGGTGAAGCAAGGGCCCTGTTCTCCCAGGTCTTTCCGGTGCCCTGTGGGCAGACAGATGTGTCTCCCACACCTTGGAGCACTGGCCTCAAGCATCCTGGGGAATTCCGGGGTCTGTCAGGATTGAGAGCCATCCCGCCTCTGCTTCCACTGTCCCCATGTCCAGACTACCCGGCCTGCTTCCGTCCCGACCAGCAAAACTCAGGTTCTTGCCTCCTCCTCCCAGCAGGCATCAAGCCCCTCTAGGTGTGAACAGTGCGGGTGGATGTTTACAGTTCAGGTGGCGGGTTTGCTGTAGCAAGGAAAAGGGCTCAAGCACAGAGGGAAGGGGCTTTCCTAAGAACCCGGGCAGCCCCAGTGTTGTTGGGGTGCACACCTGGTGGGAGGTCCCCTCTGTTGCCCACCACCTGTGAGGTTTCAGCACCTGGAGGCCGCCAGGGCTGCCTGCCCCAGGCGGTGCTGTCCAGCTCCCCCTACTGCACCGCCAGCCAGGGCGAGGCCAGAGGGCAGAGACCCACCTGCACGGAGCCTCCGTCCTCGGGCCGCACGCCCCAGGACACAGCTCTGACCAGTGTAAGCGCACGGGCGGATGTGCACTGGAGGAAGTCAGGAGCTCACAGGCACGGCGGGAAGGTGGAGGGTGGCAGCCAGTTTCCTGCTTTGGGAAGTCACTGCCCCCTAGCTCCTCCCATCCTTTGGCCTGGAGAGACGTTCCCCAGAGGGGCAGGAATCCCTTGGGGCCAGGCTCACTCTGTGACGTGGACACACACCCTGGCCTCCGGACCAGCAGACCCTGCGGGCAACTGGGGGCCTCCGTCGGCCTGACCCAGAGGGTGGGTGAGGGCTGCGCCCTGCACGGCTCTCCCCTCCTGCGTCCTGGCTTTTATCGCCTGATCTTAGAGAGGACGTAAATAATCCTAAACCGTGGCTGCTACTGTCGAGTGTGCCAGTAGACACTGTTTCATAGTAACAGCCACTCGCATTTCCTGAGTGTTTTTACCATGGACCAAGCAGTCTCCACGGCAGCCACGTTACTCCCACTGGGCGGATGAGGGCACAGAGGCGAGGAGAGGCGAGGGGCCTCTCTCAGGAGCCCTCAGCTACGAGGCGGCAGAGCTGGGATCAAACCCAGGCCATCCGGTTTCAGAGCCCAAGCCCCGAAGTGCTGTGCCGGGCCCTCTCATTGTCCACCTGCAGGGGGCGCTACTCACATAGACATGCTCCCTCTGGATTTTCCCATCTCACCAGCGAGGACCCAGAAGCTCAGCCATGGACGCACTTGCTCAAGGCCACACAGCAACTGAGGCGTAGAAGCGGAGTCTGAACCCAGCTGTGTTTCAGCTCTTCTCACGTGGGAGCAACTCGCCAGTTCCCAGGAGCTCCAAACTCGGGGTTCAGAGACGAGGAGAGGGTGTCAGAGCTGCCGGCGTCTTACTGCATTTAGTGGGAGAGATGAGTCAGAAACGCCGTGGGACTTGCCGCGGGGACCGGGCCGTGGCAGGGCCCAGGGGGCGTGCAGGGTTTGACTAAGACGCCACGTGCCTCGCCTGCGGTCCACGTCCGTGTGGTGGCTCCGTGTCAGAGGTTTCACGTCGTGACAGGCAGTTAGGGAGAGGATCCTGTGCTTCAGAGCCCCCGGGTAAAGCACTCCATCCCGCAGGCCCAGCCGCAGGGGGCCTCCCCGTTGTCCGGTAGCCAGTGGCGTCGGATGGCCTGCCGAGTAGAAGGCGCCATTCCGCGTCCCCCGCGGGCGAGGCTGCACTTGGGAGAAGAAGGCCTGTGGGGAGACAGGCGAGTGACCCTGCCCGGGGCTCTTCCTGGGCTGCTGTAACAGGCGGCTTGTTTCGGGGGCACCTTGGACCTCCCCGTGCCTCCCGTGTTCAAGCCCAGCAGTGCTGCCGGAGGGCAGAGCAGAGGGCTCATCACCACAGGGCGGCAGACCCCGGTGGGTGCCCATGCGTCCCCTGTGTCCACCTTCTGGGCAGCCGAGATGGACTGAGCAGGAGGAAGGGAGCGGGGCAACCCCCCAGGAGCAGCTGCCTCCAAGGAGCGGTGCCAGGGTGGAGGGCCCGGGCACACGTGCGCCTGGAGGGGAAAGCAGAGGCGGTCCCTCGGGAGGTGCGGGGATCCCGGAGATGTGATTCTTCATGGAGCGGGCGCTGCTGCAAGCACGGGCGGCTCCAGGACACACCCGGCCTCGCTCGCTCCCTCAGCAGAGGGGTTGCGCCGGCGTCCTGTCCTGAGTTAGCCCCGGCGCTGGCAGGGAGGCCTGCTTCCGGCTGCCCTGCCGGTTCTCACCGAGTGCTCCGGCGGCCGTGCCAGCCCCAGGCCGGCAGCTGGGGATTGATTCCCCGGGGACTAGACGTACCCCACTCCCTGCCTCGTGGACGGAGTCAGCATCACGAAGTCTGCTTGTGTTCTGGTCCCAGCACAGCGTGGGCCCCGTGAAACCCACAGGGGGCTCACGGCCAGACACCCGGGCTTGGAGCCCAGCTCGGATGTTGTGCCTGCTGTGCACTCTTGGCGAAGTCGCTTGACCTCTCTGAGCTTCTGGTTGCTCCTCGGTCGGGCACAGATAATTGCACATCCCCTCCCTGGGACTCAGGACGGTTGCACTGAAGGTTTTCTGAGTGTCGGAGGAGATTGTCACTGGGCTTGAGAGTGGGGCTGACACCCTCCATTTGACTTCCTTCTAACCGATAGGTTCATATGCCCCGGGGGGCTGGTGGCGCAAGGCAGGTGATTTCACAGACCCCTGGGGTTCCGAGCTGGAGAGAGCCTGTGGGTCGCTCGGCCCAGGCTTCTCGTTGTGCAGGCCTGGAAGCGGAGGCCGAGGAGGCAGTGACTTGTCTGAAATAACAGTGTCCTGAGAGCGTATCAGGCCCTTCGTCCATTCGTCCATTGATCGGCGGGAATCTCTGCTCTGCCAGGAAGAGCCCGAGGCCTTAGGCAAGGCCTGGGAAGCTCTGGAGCAGGAGAGACGAGATGAAGGTTTTTACTGTATCTGTGCTCACGCTGGGGCACAGCCAGCCCCGCGGTGGCTCAGATTCGCTGGGGCACGGGATTCACTGGAGATCTCGGTGGGGTCCCCTTGGGCCCCTCTGTGTGTCCCCCGCCCCTGGCAGGAGCCTGGGGAGCCAGTTGGGAAGTAGACATGGACCGTGATGAAAGGAATAGACATTAACATGTTTCTAACATGTGCCCTTTTTCTCCCCCAAATAATTTGAGATTATTTCTAATAAACCCCCACATATCCTGGGGGAGGTAACCCAAAGCGAAGAGACCTCAGTCACCAGATAGAGGAAGGAAGAGCTGTCTCCACCCCTCCCTAACCCAGCCCCGCACTGGTCCCTGGGCATCCCCGTGTCCCCTGCTTTCTCACTGTGTGACCCTGAGAGCCAGGTTGAGGACCTGCCCTGTCCTCCGCCTGCAGTGCACAGTGCCTCGTGAAGGGGCGATCACAGGCTGAATCTGGGGGGAGCTAAGGGAATGGACATCAAAACACTGTTTTCTTACGCTGCCCCTCAAGTCCCAGCTAGTCCCTGGCGAACCCCCAAGAGTGGGTGATGGGCGTGTGCTTACCCCCCCTTTCTCTCCATACCGCCGGTCTCACTCTGTGGTGTCAGGAACTAAGGGGTGAAACCCAGGTGAGGCCGGCCGTGCAGGTGCCTAACTTACTGATGGGCACTCGATGCAGCTGCAGGTGCCCTGGAGCACAGGTCCGTCCGTCCATGGGTTTCTCGGGATGACGGGTGATGGCCGAGCAGGAGGCCAGGACGCCCCCTTGGTCACCTCACTCCCTTCCTGTCCCCCGGCCCTCTCCAGGCCAAGCAGTCCTTAGCCACGCTGACCAAGGACGTCCCCAAGCGGCATTCCCTCGCCATGCCGGGCGAGACGGTGCTCAACGGCAACCAGGAGTGGGTGGTGCAGGCGGACCTGCCACTGACCGCAGCCATCCGGCAGAGCCAGCAGACTCTCTACCACTCGCATCCCCCCCATCCCGCAGACCGGCAAGGTGAGTCCTGGCCCAGCCACAGCCGTGGGGGCTTCTTAGGTAGCCGTCTGGCCCGGTGGGGAAGGCACAGTGGTTGCTCGGGGGAGTGTGGAGCGGAAGCCACGGGCTCGGGTAACTGAGCAGCCCCAGAGGTGGACCTCAGACGCAGGTGCATCTCACCTGTTAGGCGGTACCTGCGTCCGTCTGTCTCTCAGCTCCACCTACCTCCCGCTGGCCTCATCTTGAATTTGTCTCTTTCCACAAGGCATCAAACAGTTCCCAGCAGTTGCAGGATTTCAGCTCGAAAGCCTTGAGAAGGGGGAACTATCTCTATGTCCATAACAAATCCCAAAGAAGGACTCTGATTGGCCAGCCTGAGTCACATGCCCACCCCAGGACCAATCACTGTGTCTAGGCAGCCAGCACAAAGACTCTTCAGCCTGGGAGACGGCTGAGCTCCTTGATTGACAGCTCCACACGACCCCAGGATGTGTGGGAAGGTGCTCACTGTAGGCACTGGGCGGAGGAAGGGCCCAGCCTCTGGGCAGCATCTGCACCCACTGGCCACAGTACAGGCCCCAGACTCCTCTGCATGCCTGCAGCCCCCTGGCTCCATTCTCCGTCACCCCTGTGAGTGGCTGCCTTGGTGTGACATGCAGGTCGGGGGCAGGCAGCTGGACTTCGGAGCCCCGAAGTCCTGCTGTCACGTCACCTCGCTGGGAACCCAGGTTCTGGCTCCAAAGCCCCTCCATGCCACTGCCCGACCCCACCCCGGCCTTATGGCATTGGCAGTGGCAAGGGCTTTCTTGGTATTATAGCCCTATCTGCCCACGTGCTACCTGCACATAGTAGGTACTCAGTCAGTCTTGCAGAACAATGTGCTTCCTCTACCCAACTCCTGCACCTGCACCCAGGAAGGCGGTCTGCTGGGTGCCGCCTGGTGCAGGCTGCCAGCTGAGCCTTTTAGGCAACGACTATCAAGTGAGCACCTACTACGGGCCACGCACCTGAGCTCGGGTCCAGTCTGGACAAGGCACCCAGGGTGCCTGTCCTCACGGAGCTGACGTTGTAGGTGTGAAGACAGCTAACACCATGTGCCTAAACCGACTTACAGAATGCTGACAGATGGTCATTAGTGCCAGGAGGGGAATGAACAGAAAACAGGTGCTTTGATGGGGAAACGAGACAGTGGGAGAGCCGGTCACTGAGGAGGGCCTCTTTGGGGACGGGCCCGAAAGACAAGAAGGTGCCCGACGGGCAGCAGGGCCAGCAAAGACGGAGGCGGGAGGGGGATGGCGTGTCCGGCGCTGTCAGAGGCTGGGGGGTGGCGGGGGCCGGCTTTACTCCCTCTGGCCTCTGAGGCCAGGAGGAGCATTGTCACCCCCACAGCAACCAGATGGCTGGCTCTCTCTGCAGTGTGCGGCTTGGGCTCCAGGGGGCGACAGTGGGCTGGAAAGCAGCGGGTGGGTCTGGGGTCCCGTTGAGAAGCCCTGGTGAGGACCGGGTGTGGCAGAAAGACAGGAGCTGCTGGTGGCCTCGGGGCTTCTTGCTGGGGAAGCTGGTGTGTGCCAGCAGGTTTAGGGATCGTCCAGGTGGCGGCAGCCTTGTGGGGACAGTCACTGAGGTCCCTGGAAACTCTGCCCCTTCCTCCCCCTCACCGGTGAAGAGGGGGCCTAGTGGGATCCTGAGGCCACGATGGGAGATTCCGCTGGAAGCTGCTCTCTGACCACGAGTGGGGCTGCAGAATAGAGGGGCGGAGAGCCGGGCAGGCGTGCCTTCCACGTCTCAGTGTTCTCGTCTGTGTAATGGGGGCACTGGTGGAGTCGCCGGCCGGGCAGGGAAGGTGAGGACACTCCCTCCATCCCTCACTTCCCACCTGTCCCTGCTTTCCAGCGGTCAGGGTGAGCCCCTGCCACTCCCGGCAGCCCTCGGTCATCTCCGACGCTTCTGCCGCGGAAGGCGACCGGTCGTCCACGCCAAGCGACATCAACTCCCCCCGACACCGGACGCACTCCCTCTGCAACGTAAGGCCAGCAGCCGCAGGGCCCGGCCCGGGGCCCTGCCCGGAACCCGCGGGGGCGGGCGGAGGGGCGAAGACACACTCGCTGTTTCCTCTCGTCCACCCAGGGAGCGCTCTGGCGGAGGCACTTCCTGTTCTGTTCTCTCCCTTTGCGAGAAGAGACGGATGTGGGGAGAGAAAGAGAGGAGGCCCATTTGCTCCCTGTGTCCGGGAGGGCAAGGAAAATCCAGAGGAAGGCGGGCCGGGGTCGGCCACGGGGTCTGTGCCGCCCGGGGTTCCCTCTGATGGGCTGTGTCCGAGCCAAGACCGTGGGCTTCTCCTCCCAGATGTGACCCCACCCCCACCCCCACCCCCCCGCAGCTCAGCATGTCCCTGTGGGGCCAGTGCCCAGTCTTCATCCAGGAACGAGCCAGATTTTTTTGAGCTTCCAGAAGCTTTGGCGTGAAGCTCTGGAGAGGTGTCCATGAATTTGTTCTAAGTGCGTTTGCTTTGCCTATGTAATCAAACCCTGTGTGGTTGCATACGGGGTGCCAGCTACCAAGAGGCCCGTGTCCCCAGTCACCTAACTCTTGATGACTTGTAAGGCAGGCAGAGGCTCCCAAGGGTGGGGGTGGACAGGGATGAGGAAGGTGGGTCAAGGGTCAGAGGACAGGAGGGCGCCATGTCTGGGCTCTAATAGGAAAGGCTGGGGGTGGGGCCGCGCCTCATTCCTGCTCCAGCACGTGGTTGCTGGTACTCAGGGCTCCCCTGCCAGGACCCAAAGACAGAGACACAATAGAACAGGTCTTCCTTCAAGTGCATGGGAAGGCTTTCTCAAAAACTCAATGAATGTAGCGAAATTGATAATAAAAAAAAGAAATGAGATGAATCTAGTGGGAAGGAAAGACAAAACAACCCTTACTTGCCGTGATACCATTATCTACCTGGAAGACGCAGGAGAATAACCTTGAAAAGCCACAGAACTAATAATAAGCTAGTACATAACAGTACTCGTTGAAAATCAATTTATAAAAATCAGTAACTGTCCTATATTCAAGTAACCATAATGGAAACATTTTTTTCTCACTACAATGACAATGAAAGGCACTTATAAAAGTAGCTAAGGCTGAACTTACAGTAAGTTGCCGCAGCCTGGTGCATGGGCAGCAGGATGGCGGGCCTGGGGACTTACTCGGCCCACGTCATACTGGAGAGAAGGTCAGTGCCAGGCCTGGGGGCCTCCCCAAGGGCCGGGTGGTTTTTTAACTGGGGCTTTCTAAAAGGAAGCAATGCGTTCTCTCCTCCCCAGGAGAGCACCCTGGTGACAAAGGCTGTCTTGACTGACAGAGCCAAGGCGGAGAAGGGGGGCCACTAGAGGGGCCTCTGGCATCTCTTCCCTAGTTCTGAGGGGCCGGCATCTCACAGTGTGGCCCAGTGCCCTCAGTATCTGTGCACAGCCCAAATGGGAGTAACTTCTCAAGGGCCTTTTTTTTTTTTTTTTTTGGTCTTCTCTTGATGGGCCCAAAGGGGCTCTGGCAGCCAGAGCACCGTTGGGAAATGCATTCTGCAGAAAGCGTTCTCCAAAGGCCTGTGGAATTGCTCTGGCGCAGGCCTAGCCTTTTGCCCAACTTGGCCTTGGCACATACCTGCTGCTGCAGGAGGCAGGTCTAGCACATGTATTTCCAAGTTCACTTAAGACAGGGCCCTGCTGCCAGGGCGTGGGTGCTCTGATAAGCCGGTTGTCTGGGTCCATTGCAGTGGGCGCCGGCCTTGTTTTTCTCCCCGTAAATTGGGCGAAGGTGGCCCTACCCAGACTAAGCCCGTCTTAGCTGCCTGCTATGAGCTCTGCTTGTAAACCTGGAGATAGGACTAAAGACTAAACTCTCATGTGTTCCATTCCTGCCGTCCCCTCAACTACCTTCATCCCCCACATCAACAGATGTGCACACAGGGAAGCCAGGAGGAGCCCCAAAATAGCCCCAGGTAACCCTCTGTTGTCAGTCGTGTGACCGGACAGCAGCAAGAACAGCCACGTCTGGACTAAGAACACCCCCCTCCCCATCCTCTCGTGTTCTGGCCACTACTTTTGAGCAATGCCAGGTGGTGACTCAGCACAGAGAGGTTGGAGAAAGTTGATGGATGTGGCAAGTGGCACAGACTTTGTTTCTTCATGGGCCCTTTGCCTGCAATTCTGGAAACAACCGCCAGGGGTCTCCCTAGCAATGAGTTCTGTGATGGAAATGATCTGCTGCCGCCCCCCACCCCCACCCCCCGCAGGACAGACTGATCATGGAGTATTGTGAAGGCTTTTGCACAGGCACTTTCGTACACTGTGGGAGAGGAACTAGGCCAGGAGGAACCAGACTGTCCCAAATTTGCATTGTAGCTCTGCTTTTAATTAGCTGCATGATAACTGGGCTGTGTGGAGCCTGGGTATCTGTAAATCAGGCTAATGAATCCTTCTGCCCTTCCATAAAATAAGTGATTCATTGTGTTGGGGGGGGGGTGGTTCGAGGCTACAGAGTCTCCTGAGTCTTCTTGTTCCAAAATTCTTTGGGTTTTTTTGCTTTTTTCTATAAAATCATATTTATTTAGGAAAAGCACCAAGTATAACCAACCCTCAGTTCCAACACAATCAACCAACTGAGACAGAAACTTAGAAGCCTTTAAGTAACTGCTTTGTGAGTCAGAGGGCGTCGGGGTTCAAGAGGCTGGAGCAGGCAGGGGAGCACCCAAGGGCCTCAGACCAGGACCCCTGACCCAGACAGCCCCAGCGAGCCCCAGGCCCTCCCCATCGGCCATCTGGGAGTGTCTGCTAAGGGGGTGGGGGGAGGCCTCCCCACTCAGAGGCAGGGCGGCCCCTGAGGGATGGCCTCGTCTCACGGAACACCCCATGCATGCCTCACGGGCCACCTCTGCGCTCGTGTGTCCTGCGTCTCTGCTGTCTCATCTTCCTCTTCTCCTTTGGCTACAGGGCGACAGTCCCGGCCCAGTTCAGAAGAACCTGCACAACCCTATTGTACAGGTAGGTGCTCCTTCACTTGGTCCTCGGGCCCTCCCTTCACCCCGACCCGACCACGGCTTCATCCCCGGGGCCCTGGCATCCCCACTCCCCATACCTGGGCACCCGGGGCAGACAGGAGTTACAGCACTCAGCGAGTCGCATGTGGGTCTGTCCTTCCGTGCCTTCTTCTGAACCTGTAAACCTACTAAGTGCATCACACTTCCTGCACCCTGCTGCTCTGGTAATGTCCTCTCTCCTGGCAGCCAAAGTCCGACGACCCAAGCCGTGAGCTCACTGGGCCCCTCGTTGCAGGAAACTTTCATCCGTTTTTAACATGTCAGTAGTCTGTCAACCAGGATAAGGAGGGGATGTGCAGGGAGGAAAACAACAAGAATCCGAGGGTCAGGGGGGCCTCTGAGGTCCGTCTCTAGTCCTGGGGCTCCCTCCTGATGACCTGTGCGCCTGTCCGTCCCATCAGGGTCCACCAGGGAAGTTCCCCAAATGCAGTTTCCCAAGCCCTTCACCCTGGAGATTCTGTCCCACCAGGTGTGGGCTGGGCCTGGAATTTGGGGGATGTATTTTGGGAACCATTCGGCTAGTCTAGCCCCTACCTTTCTGACGGAGAATGATGCCCCACGTCTGTGCAACGCATGTGGCAGTCTGCAGAGCTCTCTGGCAGACACTGCCCCCCAAGTCCCCATAGTTACCCTGCAGTCGGGACTAGAGCTCAAGCCCCAGCCTCCTCGCCCAACCTCAGCCAATCCTGTTCCTTGTCCAGGCCTTCAGGTCCAGGGTCCTTGGCCATCACCTCCACAAAGCTCAGGTTTCCTCCGTCCTCACTCTCCAGGTTCCCCCGGCTCCCCCAGGCCCCCTTTTCCCCAGGGACTTTTTCACAGGAACTGGTGCCGCTGCCCCATGCCCCTGCAGGCAGGCCCTGTGGCGGCCCATGGCCCAGTGCATGCACGCACTCCTCCAAGCCCTTAGGGGGCACTAGAAGGCGCGGGCCAAGAATTAAAATGAGGCTGCACACGTCACCAGCAGCTAACCATTACGAGAGGCTGATTATGTGCCAGGTGCCATTGCAGGCCTTTTTATCCTCACTTTAGTGACATCCTCATGACAGTCCTGGATGACTGGCCCAAGTCCCTCCTCGAGGGCCGGGCAGACCCTGGCATTCCTGACCACGGGTGACCCCTGCCCCCACCCCCACCCCACTGGCCATCCCCGCCCCTCCTGTGCTGTGCTCCCAGCTCAGGATGGCTCTGTTCTCTTCTTCCCTGCCCCTCTGCCCCTTGGCCCCGGCTCCTCAGTCACTAGAGGATCTTGAAGACCAAAAACGGAAAAAGAAGAAAGAGAAGATGGGATTTGGCTCCATCTCCCGCGTCTTCGCCAGAGGGAAGCAGCGGAAGTCCCTCGACCCCGGCCTCTTTGATGGTACCGCCCCTGATTATTACATAGAGGAGGACGCGGACTGGTGATACCCGCCTCCCTTGGCCTGCTGCCCGGCAGGCGTGTCAGTGCGTGTGGACGTGCGTGCGTGCGTGTGTGCGTGCGTGGGGCGCGCGGGGGCGTGCGTGCGTGCGTGGGGCGCGCAGCGGCGCGGGAGCGGGGTGTGGCCGGGCGCAAACACGTGTGACCCCTCCCCCCTGCGTCGCCACCTCTGTAATTGATGTACATACTACAGACGTGTGTTAATATGTCAACTCTGTCGTCTTTGGCGCGATACAGTTGTGTTGTTAACCTGGGTTCGTTTTGTTTTCTTTGTTTTTTTTTTTTTTCAATGTTTCCTTTTGTTCGGTTCGTTGGGGTTTTTCTCCCCCTTCCCCCTCCCCTCCTCGTTTTTACGAAACTTGAAAACTTGAAGGACTGCTGTGTATTTGTAAATAACGAAAACCTATTGTGCACTCCGTGCTTGTAAATGTCCCTCGTCCACACTGCTACTCCTGGAGCCCGTCTGCCCGAGGATGTGGTCTGTTTTTTATGTCCTCCCCTCCCTGCGCCCCCCCACCCCCACCCCCGCCCCCGTGTGAACGCGCGGGACCAGACCCTGTTCTCGGGGCGCGCCCAAGTCACTTTAACCACAGAACGCCACCGTCGTCAGGGTAAGGTCTGCTCCCCGCAAGCCTCTCACAAACCCGGCCGAGGGGCCTCGTCTTAGCCGGGTTTGCCGAGGCCCAACGGGCTCTTTTCAATGGCCTGCCAGTTTTTAAATTGCGTTGCCATTTCTTTTCTTTGTGGAAAAAAGAAAAAAAGAAAAAGAACATTGTTCCGTTTAATTTATTTGCACAGATGCAGAAGACTTATTCTATCTAAATTATTACATAAATATTGGAATGTATATTTTTCCATGGGGCGGGGGGGCAGGGTGGGAGGCGGGGAGGTGGGTGTTTCTTTTGACCTGTCTAGTCTCTTCTCACGCTGCTGCCAGACCGCGGCGGGTAGAGTTCGGGGTGGCCAGAACCCAGGGAGCGTGGGGTCTCAGAGCTCACTGGTCTATGTTAGTTCCTCCTCTCTCTCTCTCTCTGCCGGCTCTCCCGCCCCTGCATGGAAGTGCGCTCCACCTCTCTTCCTGTCCGTAGCGCTCTCTCGCCAGGCCGCCCCCTGTGTATCTATTTACCTGGACTGCGGAACACTGAGCTCGGTGAGCAGAGCGCCTCCTGTGAGAGCCACCTGCTCTTGGGCCTGTGTTCGGAGTGAGGGTGAATGAATATACAGGGGAGAGAGCCAACTGCACGGCCACAGGGTAGGGCTGACCGCAGGGGACCTCAGCCGAGCGGCCCCACGGGGGTCCCCCAGTGGCATTCGTCCCTCCCTGCGGCTGTGTCTGTCTCCTCCGTGGCTTGCTCTGCACGCTGACCAGGCAGGTGTCACTGGGGAGGCTCTCGTCTCCGGGGAGGGCTGTGGGGGGGACAGAGTGTCAGGACCAGGGCCCCTGCCCTCCCCATTCTCATTGGCTCCTGCAGCCACACCTGGCAGAGTCTCTTGGGGTCCCTTAGGCAGCCTGAGCCCATTCACCCCAGGAGAGAGGGCTGGCAGGAGTGTCTGCCTATTCGGGGAGCAGAGTCGGCCTGTGAGGCGTCACCATCAAGGAACTGTGTGCATTAAACATGGGGTGATAGAGATCACGTGAGCTAGAAGCCAGGGACCCCCCCAGGCCATAAACTAGCTTCCCTTTTCTTTTGGCTGGTGAATGCCCCCACCCCACGCCCCCCACCCACCCAATGCTCCCCCTTAACTACTAACCCAGCTCCATTCACACCCCCTCTAAACGGTAGTAGCTGCGCTTTCTGCTAACTGTAACACTGTCTGCTCTTACCAAGAAGCGAGATTTTCAAATGCTGGAGTGTCTCTGTCAGAACGGTTAGGATATTTCGTCCCGAGCCTCTAACACACACAGAAGAGCCCCAGCCAGCGGCTCCCTCTCCTCCGGCCCCCGTGGGGGTGGGGCAGGAGCCGGCCGGGCACCTAATAAGGCGCTTTCTGGCCTCCTCGGGCTTTCACAGACAGACCGAGGCCTGGCATCTTTCTCGGCAGAGAGAGATTTTTAGAAAACACTTCTCCCTTCCCCCCCACCCACCGTGAATTTTTTTTTTCCTTTTGATTGATTTGTATTGTTTTTCCCTTACGAGAAAATAAGATGGCAACCACTCCTGGTCATGATTTAGTAGTTCCTTTTCATTTCAGTTTTTGTAAATTAGGAGATAATTCTAAGAGTTCCTAAGGATGATTTATTTAAGAGAACTACGTCAAATAGCGAATGAGTTATGGGTAACGCTAGATGAAAATAACCTTTCCCGTGGGCAAGGTTTCTCGAAGGCATGGATGCAAATATAAAATATTAAAAAAAAATCTAAATAAAGCTTATTTTAAAATATTATCGAACTCTATGTTATTTGATTGCTTCTATCTTGCTCCGGGTGGGAGGCCAAGGCCGCACGACCTGCTCTTGGGAATATTCCTGAGAGAGTGACGGGAGGGGCCGGGGAAAGCTGGCCGGCTTCTGGGCCCACGGAGGGGCTCGGGCCGGGTCTCCCAGAGACGTCTTGCCTTTGCCGGCTTTACCGTGGGCGCCCCGGGTGCCCATGGTCCTAATGCACCAGCCCCGAGCCTGGCACCCCGGCCCTGCGTCCTCCAGCTCAGCACCCCGGTCAGCTTTCTCCGGCTCCCTTCTCCCCACTGCATGCCTTCCGAAGGCCCAGAGGTGGGACCTGTGAGTTTGGGGGCATGTTACTTACTTCCTGCAGGCCTCCATGGGCCTCTGCAGTGCCCCAACTTCCCCCATTCCCCAAGGGGGCTAAGAGGAGCTTAAAGGAGAAACTGAACTGTCCACGGGGTTCCCTGATGAAGGCAGAGTAAGCCCGGCTTTTCTGAACCCCGGGAAATCCCCCAGACCCAAAGCCCAGCCACCTCCCACACACACCCCTGCACAGTGTGTCCCGGGAAGAGGCCCCGGCCACACCAATCCAATCCGAGGTGGCAGCCCGCGCCCTCAGCCTCTGTCTCCCAGCCTAAAGAGAAAGCTGCCCCAGCAATAAAACTGACGCAAGGCTGGCCTTTTAACTCCCCCATCGCTTCTGCTGGGAGGAAGCTCGGAGCTCCGGGAGAGCGAGACCTCGCGGAGAAGGCAGGCACAGAGCGCAGGGCTGCGAGGGACTTGGGCACGTTGCCCCCAGCCGTGCTCAGCCCGGCCCCACGCTGGAAGGTACACCTTCTCTGGTGATTCCGAGGGGTGACCAGGCTTGAGGACCCCTGGGCTCATCCAAGGAGGGCCAGTGACCCCAAGATGCCGCCGCTGCCCTCTGCCTGGCCTCATGCGGACATCGCGAATCCATTAAGAGCCCTCCCCGCCCAGCCCAAAGTGGCTTCCGAGGTCTGGACTCCGTCGGTCGGAGTTGGCGCACAAGGAGGAACCCTATGTGCCGTCTCGAAACCAACCTGGCCCCCTTGCTGGGCAGGCGGGAGAAACTGGCCCACAGAAGACTGATGTGGCCGAGACCCTCGCGGTCGCGCCTACAACCACGTGACCTTCTCAGGGGCTGGGCCACACCCTATTCAGACCTTTGTAGCTCTACTGAAAAGCCATACAATGTCCTTATGTTCTCTGAGACTTGGTCCCAAACAGACCAATTTCAGGTGGCACCTCTTAGACGCTGAAGCAGGGTTGGGTGCCCAGGGCCAGGGCACAGCTGCCCGGGCCGGGCACTGCCTCCCTGCACAAGGCCCTGCCCGGACGGCTGTGCCCTGGCCCCCGTGTGCTCTCCCACCCGTGCTGGCAGGCTCCGACGGCTGGAACCTAATACTAGTAACAATAACCACGTCTAACACTTACTTATTAAGCACTTACCACAGGCCAGGGTCCTGCTGCGCACTTGGCACGTATTAACTCGGTTAGCCCTCCGACAGCCAGCGTCACGGAGAAAACGGAGGCTAAACCATCCAGGGTCAGGGAGCCCCGTAAACAGGAGAGCTGGGCTTCAAACCCAGGGAGGCCATGGGGCCCTGAAGCGCCGCACCCGCTGGGCAGGGAGGGGCTGGGACGGAGCAGGCGGGCAGACGGACACTGCATGTGCGTGGGCAGGGCCTGGTTGGAGCCCCCCTCACCCACCCGTAAGTAGCCTCTGGCGCAGCCTAGCACTTCCTGCTTTTGTGACTGAGTCTACTCATTCAGCCTTTGGCACCCCCAGGCCCAGAAAACCCACCCAGAGAGGAGGCGCTGGTGCGGAGGGCAGAGCAGAAACACACACAGGTCCCTGTCCCCTGCAGAGGACCGCCTGCCGTCACTCTGCCTGGAAGTGCCCTGGCTGCACCACACCGCCCGTCCTGAGGGTTGGCAGCTCCACCCACAGCCAGGCGGCAGGCCCCCCACCTGCCTTGGGCAGCTGCTGAGGTTTCACTCACCTGGGCTCCGGGGAACCCAGAGGCGGCAGGGCCGCCAGGTGTGGGGTCGTCTGCTCTGTGACAATACACGTTTAAAAGTATCTATAGGGCCCTTGCACCAAAAGCCAGCATTTTCACAAAATGGGCCTCAAAACATCCCACCCCCGCTCCCATCGACTCCTAACAATTGGCTCTTAAGCTTTTGCAACCCACCTGTTCCCACTTCCCAGTGGAGCAAGAACCTGGCGGTAATAATAGACAAGAGGGGATACATACAATTCACCTTCTAGAAGACCGACTCAACTTCGTACGATACAATGCCCTATAAACTTAACACTAACTCAGGAGTTTGATCTCGGCTGTATGTTAGAAGTTGTTTCAATATCAAAGTCCTAGCACATCACCAACAAAGGACCACTAGACAGGCAAATCGAGGGTATAAACCTTGACCGCATCTGGCAGACGGGTAATTCCAACCTGAACTGCCACCGCCAGGTGCCTTAAAGCCCAGGCACTGGAAAACAGGCAGACACCCGGCCCCACACAGCACAGGGCTG